AAAAAGCGTTATGCAACATTAACAGAGCAGGAGGTTAAGTGAGCTGGTTAACTCCATTTAACGCCCTGTAAACACAAAGGAGGTCATCCCTGGAAGCCCACCATTGAGTGGCAGTGTTTCTCATGTGGATGCCCAGGAATGAGTCCCGGGTCAGGTATGACTCACCATTTTATTCAGTGCTTGGTGAGCAGATATAGTTCCTTCTGACACAATTTACTGAGGGCACAAATATTGTTAGAGTGGTAAAAATAATGAGGATAGGACCAGGACAGAGTGACCTGCCCCTTTCAGTAAGGTGGCCATTCTCATAAAACTTCGTATAAGGACTGTTGAGAGCAAATTGTACAGCCACAAACAGGAAAAAAAAAAATGCCCACGTCTACAGGGAATAACTTCCAGTCCTGAAAAGAGGTGCTCTGAAAAATATGTGGGGATTGCAACAGGCAGAAAACTGAACACAGAATCAGTGGTCCAGGCTGCAGGAATGAGTCTGAAGTGATTCCTGTCTGTGTAAGGACAGAAGTGAGGATGGCAGCGAGGAGACAATTAAACCTCTCTCTGTGTATGAGTAAGACAGTTTTCATGCTGGAAAACTGTTCAGTGCTTTATGCTCCATATTTTAAAAATAACTTTGAATCAAAGGTGATCTGAAGGCTGGAGATCTCAGTAATTTAAAGAGGTCAACCTGTTTAATATATCAAAAAGCAGAACGAGACATGACTTGCTTGCAGTATCACTCCTTTCCTGGAGAAAAGTCTACCAAATATTCTGGCAGAGAATAACAAGAGCCAGTCACTGGAGAGTGATTAATCACAGAAACAAACTACCTAGTGAAGTGCAGGATCCTCTCTCTTCTGGAGTCTTTGAATCACAACTGGAGGTCTGTCTGGAAGGCAGTTCCTGGTCTGCAGAATCCTGAGGGCTGTGAGAGCAGATCAGAGAAGGAATTATCATGCAGCTACCCTCAAGCAGCTGATACTGGGCTGATTTTAAGTGTAAGCCCTGTGTGCATTAGCCCAGTACAAACTAAAGGGTTAAAAGCCTTCTGTATCATGTTGGTATCCAAGAGAGTCATGCCAGCCTCCCTTGTCCTTACAGTGTTTTTGTCTCAGAGTCCGTGTTACACACAGTTGTGAAAAATCATCTCATGAGATGTGACTCTGCTATGTTTGGAGAGGGACTGGTGAAAAAAAATGTCTTCAGCGTTTTGACAAGTTATTTGGATTCTGTGGTGGTGAAGAAAGGAAGAACCCAGAATGAGCCCGTGCAGCTCTACAGCTTTAAAGTGGGACAGGGAGCAGAGAGGAAAGAAAGTGGATCTGTAGCACAAAGAGAATGGAGGTTTCTTTCTGTAGAGATCAGAGCGAGATCAGAAGAGAGGGATGATGCTAGGGGGTGGTTACAGCTAGGATCAGAAATCCCAAACATTCCGAAATAACAACACAGAACGTCTCCATGTCACAAGATTTATCTTAAAATTATGAAATGTCGTACAGACTTGCTTTCATCTGCACTCTTCGCCTCCTACTTTCGGCTCTTTTGGTTACATGAAAATCACATTTCACAGTTTCCCTGTGACCATAAAGATAGGTGTTTGCTTTGTGAGGAAAGCAAAAGCACAGAAGTTACTGCCTCTAGGAGGCTGGGATTTAATTTCAACACCCAGCACTCCAATCTAGGGATGAGGCCAAAGTTTTGCTAAGTTGTGGAGATGTTACCCATGACTTTTGCGCTCGTGAAGATGATGACCTCCTCATTTGGGGAGCGCAGGATCTGAGTCACTGAAAGGACCTTCTGGTCTTTGCCCTTGATGCAGGATAAAAAAGGAGCAGACAAAAACATGGGGACCCAGCACACAGACCATAGGAATTGGGGCCAAAGTGGAGGAGGAGACAGAGAGCATCATGTAAGCTAGGATGCTCAGGCTGCCAGGCTTTATCTAACTAATAATGAAAGGCAGCAAGCGTGTCAGAGAGTGTGAGAGAAACAGATCGATAGAGAGATAAAACTGAGATGGAAGGAGCCGGCAAGGGGGTGGGGAAGAGAGTAATAAAACACTACAAATCAGCAGGGTTACGTTTGAACCTGATTTGAATGCACCCTGCACTGGTGTAAGTGAAGACAGCAGGTGTGAGGCTAAGGTGAATCAGGCCTAAATACAGAATCAGGGAGGGAAAAGCAGAGAGGAGATGGTGCCCTTGTCAATACTGCCCTGCAACCTGCCTTCACAGCTCTCAGCCAACATTACCTGCCTGCCTCTCCCTTCATCCTGCTGCATGGAGAAGCCAAAGATTGCTCTGAGAATACAGATAGACTTTCCTGCTTCCCTGGGTCATCATGATCTTCCTGAAGAAATGCCTGGTGGGTAATATGTGTCTCGGTCCCATTTTACCTGACTGGAGCATAGGAAATGCTCCTTTCTGCTTTGTTCATTGAGGACCCAGGGTAGCGTCCAACAATGCCCTGAGCCACCGGGCGTGAGGCACTTTCCTAGGAGAGCTCACTGACTGTGCCCATGCTCAGTTACCAGTGGAAGATGATCAGAGAAGTTTCTTTGCTCAGCTTCAGATTTTTGAGGCAAAGGAGACCGTGACATCTCAAAGCTAAAATGGTCAGATAAATGAGAATGGTTCACATAAATGAAAATGTGCCCTACAAGAGCAGGACTGAGGGTTTTTGGGTACCCTTCCCTCTCAAGGCACATGTTTGCTTCTCTGGCCCAGCACTCAGACCTGTTTTGCTCCTTATGCCTGGAATTAGTTTTAAGGGATGTCCACCTAATCTTCATGGCACAATCATTAACATTATAAGTTCAGTTTTTCACACTGACCATGGCTGTTCTCACTGTTCCCTCCTTCTCTCAGTGGCCTCAGTGAGGAGACCAAACACTAAAGGAGCTTAGGGACTGAAGAGAGTGACCCTGAGCTGTACAAATGAGCTTGAGAGACAACGATCCAACTCCCCAAGGCAGCCAGGGGTTATGTTTCCTAGCTCTGAAATTGTGTTTGGAGCAGAACTGTGCCCCAAAGGAGCCCTCTCCGTGACTCAGCCGCAGCGGCTGTGACAAGAACTAGAGTCAAAGCAGGAGATGAGAGTTGTTGATACTGGCAAGTAAAACCTTAACAAACGTAGACTTTACCCAGATGAAGACTTCAAGATGTTACACTTATTTCAAGATGTTGCACTTACAGAAGTCTGGCAAAGCACAAGTCAACCGCCTTTAATATGTGCTAAACTGATCCAGCTGAAGCCCAAATCTCTTGCTGGCAATCATGTGCTGGAGTGCAAACTTGCCCTGATGGCTCTAAGATTTTAACATCCCAAAACCAGGCTGCCTGCATAGACTGTATCAGATTCCCATCAATTTGTTGCCTCTTTTTATTTCATGGAAAATGTTTGTGAGTTTCTGAAGGAGCCAGCCATGAGGAAATTGGTGATGCACTGGAAACTCTTGGCCAAACAGCTTAATATTTCTTATTGAAATGCACACTGCCTGCTCTCCTCCCAGTCCCCTCACCTCTGCCCACCATGTGATTTATACAAGATGAAAAGAGCTCTGAAGGTGTGGGTGTTTTTTTCCCCAAATGACCCCCAGTTTCTGTTCTCTTTCACCTGGCACAGGGAAGCGTGCCCTCTGCAATGACCGCATTGCTGTAACTCATACACCCACCAAGAGGTACTTAAGGTGCACTAGAAACATTTCTATCCTTGTGGAGCGTTTAAACTATCTTTTTATGGCCATACCCTGCCTGCATCAGGGATGCATTTCTTGACAAGTGCGATGGTTAATGATTCAGCAGATAGTAAAGTCATTTTTTTGTAAAAATTAATGCAGTAGAGGAGGGGAGGCATGCAGGGATTTAAGAAATGCACGGCTTAAATACATAAGTACAGTGCTTTGCAACATAAGATTTTTTACATTTACATATCCCCAAAATAGTGAGATCTTAATGGTGTGAAAGCAAAAACGAGAGCGATGTGTGGGCACACACAAGGTATTCCATGCACCTCTTTTAATTCTGGCGTGGTGCTTATAGAATAGATCATTGAGATGTGAAAAACCCCATGCCATATAGTAGTGCATCTGTTTTCTCACCAGCTATTTCAACATTAATCATACAATCACAGAGTGGTTTGGGTTGGAAGGGACCTTAAAAATCATCTTGTTCCAACACCCCTGCTGGAGGCAGGGAGCTGTGCTATTAGACCACGCTGCTCAGAGCGCCATCAATCCTGGCCTCGAACATTTCCAGGTGTAGGGATGAGGAGCAGATATTCACCAGACTGGCAAGACCCATAAATACGTGGATGTTCATCTGGCATTGATTGCCTTGCTGGGACACATCTCACTGTGGCCGGGCAGCTTGGGGAGTTTCGACAGAGGATGGATGGGTCGTGAAAAATAAGAGAGCAGTGAGCACACAACAGCTGCTGGTGAGCAGGGCAGGGCATGAGAACAGTGCAGAAAGGACCTGAGGGCTGGCTGGTGCCAGTGACCAGCAGGGCCAAAAGGCTGGGGACCAGCGGGTGGCGGCGGAGGCTGCGCCGCAGGCAGACCGCAGCCTGTGCTGGCCCGGGGACATGAACGCTGCCATGGCAGGGTGACAAGGGCGGCTGGGAGTGGCCGGGAATGGCCCGGGCTGACCGGGGATGGCTGGGAGTGGCCTGGGCTGGGCGGGAATGGCCCGGGATGGCCGAGAATGGCAAGGGGATGCGCCCGAGGGACGAGGCGGCCGCGGGACGGACGAGGCGCTGCGCGGCCGGCAGCGCTCAGCCCCGCCAGCGGGGGGCGCCCTGGCGGCGGGACTGCGCCGCCGCGCGGCGCCCGGCCCGGCCAATGGGGAAGCGGCGGGGGCGGGACAAGCCGCCGGCTCCGCCAATGGGCGGCGGGTGCGCGTCACACGCGGAAGCGGCGGCCGTGCGCCGGCGGTGTGGGGCGGGTGCGCGGGGCCGGCCGGGAGCGGCCGGGCCGGGGCTGCGGGGGGCGAGCGAGCGGCCGGGCGGGCCGGGCCGCGCCCCGCCATGGCGGCCGAGGGCAAGGTGACGGGGCAGAGCCAGGAGCAGTTCCTGCTGCTGGCCAAGGCGGCCCGCGGCGCCGCGCTCGCCAGCCTGATCCACCAGGTGCTGGAGGCCCCGGGCATCTACGTGTTCGGGGAGCTGCTGGACATGCCCGCCGTCCGCGAGGTGAGAGCCGCCCGCCCCGCGGCCCCGCCGGGCCCTGCCCGGCCCGGCCCGGCCCTGCCCGCGGCCCGGCGGCGCCGCCTGACCCTGTGTCCCCGCAGCTGGCCGACAGCGAGTTCTCCCCCGTGTTCCGCCTCCTCACCATCTTCGCCTACGGCACCTACGCGGATTACCTGGGTGAGGCCGGCCCCGAGCCCCCCGGCGCAGGGTGGGGATCCGCGGGGCGGGAAACGCGCGGGGTCCCGGGGCGCAGGGACCCCACCGTGCAGCCAGGGCTGAGCCCCCGGCCCGACACACGCCCCGTTGTGCTCTGGGCCCCAGAGTAGTGGGTACCTGGCGGAGATTGACGCTGCCATTTGCCTCTTGCCAAAGAGCATCCTGACAGAGACGTTTCTGAGGGGCCAGGGAGAGACTTGGATATCCATTGGGATCAGACTCGCATAAATAACCATGGGACAGCTAGAAATGCTGAGTTGAGGGTGGCAGGAAGAAAGGCTGCCCAGAAAAGGTCTTTTGAGCTGAGAATTGATGGGGATGGCTTGGCAAGACGAAGCACCACTTGGGGGATTGGTGTGCAGACGTCTTAAGAGACGGGTGTCGTACAGGTGCTTCTGTGCAGAACTGGGGAACGAGGCATAAATTCTAATATCCCATTCTTTCCCCTGACGACAGCTGAAGCAGCAAACCTCCCTCCCTTGACAGAGGCCCAGAAGAACAAACTGAGGCACCTGTCAGTCGTCACTCTGGCTGCCAAGATCAAGGTAGTGGCCCTGTTTTTCCTGAGCTCTCCTCCCACTGGGATTGTCTGGTGCTAGTCACCATCGTGTTTCCACAGTGCATCCCGTACTCGGTGCTGCTGGAGCAGTTGCAGCTGAAGAACGTGCGGCAGCTGGAGGACCTGGTGATTGAGGCTGTGTATGCAGATGTGCTGCGAGGGAGCTTGGATCAACGGAACCAGCGCCTGGAGGTGGATTACAGCATTGGGAGGGACATCCGGAGGGAGGAGCTTAGCACCATCACCCGCACATTGCAGGAGTGGTGAGGAGGAAGCCCCCAGTACTAACACCCCAAAAAGATTGCAAAAAGAGTGGCCGCTGGCTTCCCTGGATCCTTTGTGTGTTGCTAAGGGTGGGTGGTGTTGGGAGGTGACCTACTCGATCCCCTTTCCCATACTCCAATGGAAAGTAATTTTCCGAAAGTAATTTTCCAAAATAATTCCCCTGTTTGTGTCTGGAGGGGTGATGGGGATGCAGCAGCCTTGGCACAGCGCTGGCTGCTGGCAGGAGGCTTCATGAGTGTTTATCTGTAGTTCTTAACCCAGCATGGCTTTGTTACCTGTCCCCCTCCCAGATAATAATGTAATTCCCTGCGTTATTACATCAGACTCCTGCCCCTGTATCTTCCCTGCCTGGCATAGCTGTCACTTCCCAGTGATTTTGGAGTTGAAATCTGCTATCTGTCACGTTTGTCTCTGTGCTGTGCCAGTTCCCTGGCCTGTTCAGTGGTGTGTCTCCTCTCCAGGTGCCAGGGCTGCGAGGTTGTGCTCTCGGGCATCGAGGAGCAGGTCAGCAGGGCCAACCAGCACAAGGAGCAGCAGCTGGCCCTGAAGCAGCAGATCGAGAGCGAGGTGAGTGCCTGCAGCAGGGAGCAGTCAAAGGCCCTGCCTTTAAACAGCTAGAGCCACTGTGCTGTGGTTGTTACAGTCTTGCTGGAGTGAGGCATTGCCTTCTCCCCAGGCCAGACCCCCCAGGGACTTGTGCTTGAAGAGGAGTCCTAAATCAGCTTAATACTCCTCTGCAGTGCAGGGGCCTGGACAGATGTTGGCTCTTTTGCTTGATGGGAGCTTGCAGCTCTTAGCTCCAGGGCTTCCTTTAGAAAGAAATTTAAAAAAATTGAGAGGGCAACTGTAAAAATCCATAGCCAAAAAATCTCCAGCTTTGGGAAACACATTGGCTCTGTCTTTGCTGCTGTTACAGGTGGCAAACCTGAAGAAGACCATTAAAGTGACGACAGCAGCCGCTGCAGCAGCCACGTCCCAGGACCCAGAGCAGCACCTCACGGAGCTCCGGGAGCCGGCCCCTGGCACCAACCAGCGCCAGGCGAGCAAGAAAACCTCCAAGGCCAAGGGGTGAGCAGTGTGTGGGGAGCACCAGTGCACTTTGCTCTGTGCACCAAGGAAGGGAGTGAGATATGAACCACTTTGAACTGTTATTTTTCTTTCTTTTTCCCTGTGCCTGCAGGCTCCGGGGCAGCACGAAGATTTGGTCTAAGTCAAACTAGCTGGATCTCCCTTCACAACTGGGAGGGTGAGAGGGAGAGATTTGGGGGATGGAGGGGTAGCAGGGGTCCCAAGTGTGATGCTTCTGAGCTCTTCTCCGAGACCCATCTTGCCAGCTAACTCTCCTGCACGTTTGTTCTCTTTTCTTTCTCCTTTACCGACCTTGCAGGCAGCGTCTCCCTCCTTTTCATCGCCGCTTTTCACACTCTGAGCTTCAGGTTGTACGCCTTGCTGTTTCCCCAGCCGCCCAAGCCCCCGTCGCCACGGCCACGTGTTTCTCTCTTTCTCTCTGCCTGTCTTTTGACAGGCCAATTTCAGGAGCCACAAGGTCACCTTGGCACCCCCAGGGCATCACAAAGCTTGCAAAGAGGGTGCTGGTGCACAGCAGTCTTTCTGGCTCCATGAGACCCCCTGGGATACCTTGCTCCAGGACACAGTCTTTGATTGTTTAATCTTTGTTTTGCTAGGTGGGAGGGTAGTTTTTGAAGGGATTCTTTTAAAAAATATATAAATATATTATAAATATATATAAAACAATAAAAATATAGATCTATGGACATATCTATATAAACCTGCGCTCCTGTGGGTGGCATCTCTTTGCCTTGTACACCAGTTCTGGAGGTTCCAAAATAAGCTGTGACAGTAAGAGCCTTTGTCCCATTTTGGGGTGGAATATCCTCTCAAAGGTTCCCTTCTCAAAGGTAGTATCTCTATTGGGATGAGAGTCCATAAAACAGAAATGAATCATAAATCTTATTTAAAGTGTTCCTTGTGTGGTTGATTTTCCTCTAGACTCTTCAAAAGGTGATTTGCAGGTAGTCTCAGAGGAAGGGCCAGAGACTGAAGAAAAAGTCCTTATTTGTGTCAATACTGTGTGTCTTGTGATCCTGGACAGAATGGAAAGTGATGTGGGGACTTGCCTGACAGGTGGAGGTAACAGAGTCAATGCCCACATGTGTGAGTTCTCACAGGATGGATGCTGCACAAGCTGTTCTCTGGTGGTGGTGATGTCTGGTTGGAAAAAAAAAAAATCCAAATCAGTGAAAGTGACTCCTGTGAGATGCCCAGGAAAAAACCTAACTCAGATTCTTCAAAGGATGCCTCCTCAGGGCTGGCTTTGAGCCGAGTCAGACGGGTGTCACTGTCACACTGCCTCTCCATGACATGTAGCTGATGTAAATGTAAATTGACACCGTGACTCCCACCCCCGCTTGGTTCTGCGCCTTGTGCCAAGACTAAAATTTGATTCCCTGAACCTGTGTTCCTGTGTGTGAGCAAACCACGTTAAAAAATAATCCAGTGAAGGGAAACTGGGAGTTTTGTCTCTATGGGGCCATGCTGGGTTCACTGGCTGGGGTGGGTTTTCTCCTGGTGAGCTCCCTGTGCAGACAGGTGAGAGCTGGATCCAAGGTGTGAGCAAGTCTTGTGAAGGGGAGGGGGGTGAGTCTGTGCCTGTTTTGGTGGTAACAAGGTGCCTTCCCAGATCTCAAACCCCACAAAAGGCAGGTTCAATGCAATATCCCTGCTTTGCTAATTCCAGGCTGCTGTAACACAGCCCTGACTGTCAGTGGGAAAGCCCTGAACCCAAAGCCATGAATTCCCCAGCAGCTTTGTTTGCTCCTCTGTGTGCGGTCACGGGGCTGGGCGTAGCAGGTGGCTCTGCTGGGGACAGGGATGTGCCAGCTCTCCTGGGGTGATGGCTCTCGCTGGCTGGCATCTCCCAGGAGCTCGGGCAGCCCCGCACCTTCCCCCATCGAGCACCTTGGCTGTAGTTGCCTGGCCCAGAAGTGCCAAGCGGGAGAGTTTTGGTAGGAAGTTGGCCAGATGGGAGACACAAATCTGGCTGCTGGAGCACATGAGGGGATAGCTGGGCCTGGGTCGTGTATGCCCACCTACAGAGGCCTAACTAATTTGGGAGCCTCCCTGATGAATCCTGTCCTCCATAAATTGTTGGGAGGCATTGTGACAAAGCTTCCAGCTTTTGTTTAAATCACCTGAGCCTTCTTCCCTCTGCGTCACATCACCTTCATCTGTCTCTGTCAGGGAGCAGAGGCATTGTGCTCGCTGTGTTTGTGATTGTCTGCAGGAACAATAATGCCCATATGTATCGGATCTTCAGCTCCCTGGGAAGGGCTAGTCTGGAGCTGAGGTGCCAACAGGGGAGGAGATACCTGTCAAGTACCTGCCACATGTCTGGCACCTCACACCCTTTGAAGGATTTGCTGCTTGCAAAGCCATTGGGGTGTGATGAGAATGGGTTGGGATGGAGCTGAGCAGTCGGACACAGAACGTGTCCTAACAGGCACTGGCTGACATCCAGTGGGAGCTGGGCTGGAGCAGTGTCACCTCCAGGGAGAGCTGAAGTTACCAGTACTGGAGGAGGATCTTTGTGTCCCACCAGAACCTGCTGCTCAGGAGGAGCAGCTGTAACAGTTCCCTGCCCCGAGTGCCTCATCTCCTCTCTGGTCTGTTGGGCTTTGCTATCTTTAACCAAGCTGTGGCTATTAGACACAAAGGCTCTGTGTCAATGCCCTGAATCCAGTTTAAATCCAGGCTGCAGATCCCAGGAGGAGTTGGAAGGCAGCACTGAGAGCTCCAGGCCGGCTGTGTGTGACAGTGCTCGTGTGACGCCCTGTGCAGCAAGGGCCGGACAGAGCAGTGTCTGAGCTCTGTGCCACACGCTGCCATCAGCCTTGGGAGCACCAATTCCCACGTGGGTGACAGCAGCCAGCGTGTGGACCAGCGTGGGACTGGTGGGGCTCACCACTCCAGCCCCAGGCTGTGCTGAAGGCCCACACTTGGATCGTCACAGCTCAGTCCCAGCTGGCACAAGTCTGGCTCTGTCCTTGTGCCATAACTTTGTTATTTGACAGCCATGGCCTCCCCACCATGTCCCAGGGTCAGCTCATCCTCTGGGAGCAGCATTTGCCATAGATTGGCTTTGCTCCCCCTTCCCGTTTGCCTGTATCCCCCTCTCAAGGCTGGCTGTGTTATGGATTTTAGGAGAGTTTGGGATTAAACACAGTTCTGAAAGTCTTCCATTTTGTTTACTTTTCAAAAGGAGCACCTTTTAAGACCTCCATTAAGAAAAGGAAAGCTGGAAGTAGCACATAAAATTACTTCAGACCTTTGGTAGGACTGAAAAATAAATGAGAGGGTTGCAGTGCAGAATGAAAGTATTGCTGCAAATTGCCTTGCTGGATGGCAAACAGAGGGCAGGAGCATGGGTTTGCCTTTGCCCTTCACCTGAAAACCATGGGTTTTATTTTTCTGCTCGCTTTAGCCGTGACTCTGAATTTCAGTTGGAGAAGATGTGAAGATTAATTAATTAGTTAACATTTATAAATCACTTTGAAGATGGCAAGAGTGAGGTAAGTACTGAGCATTATAAGTTTTCATTTTAAAATGTCTTTATGTTTTAACCCATTTTTTTCCAAAGAAAAGGCCTGAGTAGAGAAGAACAGAAATACCTGGACACATTAAGCCCTGCAAAGGAATCAGGTTTAGGGGGCTGTAGAAGAGGGTGCAGAGAAATGTCCGTCCCAAAATGAGGAGCAGGAGATCTGCCACCCCCAGCACAGAAAGTCTAATAGCTCTTGCACAGTGATTCATTGTAAACCCTCTTTGGATGCCTACATGGGGCTCTCACATGGGTTCAGAAAAGGGAGGAGGCAGGAGAGGACCTGAACTGCTCCATCACTGATGTCCAACTTTTGCCAGCCACCTCCAGCTGCCCCGTGGCAAGAGGTAACACAGGATTGGTGTTAATGTTGGTAATTATTGCACTCTTGGGACACAATTTCCTCTGGGGACCTTGCTGCTCCCCTTCTCGAAGGTGGTGAAGGTGCTGGGCAGCTGCTGCCAGCAGCTTGGCTCCTGCAGCAGTGCCCATCCATACCTGGAGGGTGGAGAGAGGTGTCACAGGTGGGCAGACACCCTGCAGGGCTTCTCTAAGGTACTCCCCATCCTGCACTGCTCGGTGCTGAGGTACCTCTGGAGTCAGAGATGGTCCTTGTGTGCTCAGAAGGAGTCAACATTTTCTTTACTGGGGTTGCTGAGGCTGCCCTTGCCTCTGTTCTCCAGAGGAGACCTTTGGCATGGTGCTTTGTTCCCTGAAGAATGATGGGCTGCTGTGGACCCAAGTGCTGTTACACATTACCAAGCCTCCTTTGCACCACTGACACTGGCTGGGGGGCACATCCCTGGATGGACAGCAGGTTTCCCCCCTCAGGCCTGTCAGGGGCAGCAGGGAGGATGGCAGCCCTGCCCAGCAGCAGGACATGTGCCCACCACCTGCATCCAGCCTCCTGTGAGCTCCTGGTGCCAGCTGAGGAGTGGTGCTGCAGAGGCCGTGGCCATGCCAGCCAGATTGCACCTGCTGGTCTGCAGGATGACCATACATCTGTGTGGTCCCCAGAGCTCCCTGCAGGGATGCCTTGCCTCTCCTGCACCAGGGTGCTCCCCTGAAGGCCCTTTGTGCCAGGTGGGTGGCCACAGTCTGGGCTGTGGGGAGAGCTGGCACAGATGGTGTGTGTCCCCCTCTGCTGCCCGTGGGGCTGTACCTTTGTACAAAGACCCCCCTAACAGCAGCCACTGAGGGCTGTGCCTGCTGCTTGCCACAGCTGAGCCATCCTTCCTGGGATGGGGCCCTGCCTCTGCAGGATTCTGATGCAGAGCAAGGTAGAGTAGTCAGAAGAATCTCACAGCTCATGTCAGCTGCTGCAAATGTGTGTCTCAGATCTCTGACATCCTTCTTGTCTTCTTTGTATGCCCTGGAATAGCTGCTCTTTCCTTCTGTGACCCCTTTCCCTTTTTGCCATTCTCTCCATGGGAGTCTGTTTGTGTTCCCACCTGCAGGGCTCTTCTTTCCTCATCCCTTTTCCTAGTACTAGTCACTGCTTAGCTGAAATACTCATATAAAAACCACCTGTTTTCTCTGCTGGTTCCACAGGCACCCCATCTTTTGGGTGCTTTTCTCTCATCTTCTGCAGTTTTCCAGGAGCACCCCTCTTGATCCAGTGTGGAACTAGGCTGGACTATTGTCTGCCTCCTCTGCTGGTGGCAAGCTCTTCTCCTGCCAAGGAAAGGAGTTCATTTGCAAAAATTCTTTGTGCAGTGTGCAATTATATTCCTGTTGTGATGAATTCAATAGGCAGCAAAATATCAGCTGGATTCGAGAGCTGTGACCCTTTTACAGTAGCAAGAATGTTCAGAATTCCTGTAGCACTTGTGCACATGTTAAAAGCTGCGCTGCACCCTCCTGTTCTGAGGACAAGTAAAGCCCCACCGCCTTCAGATCAGGAGAAAATGTTTCTGGGAAGGCTTTGCCTGTATGTGCCTCTGAAGCATTTAGCACTGGTTTTAGGATGTGGGAAGACGGATGATCTCTTTGGTGGGAGCAAAAGCAAGGAGGCTCCTGGTGACCAAGTGTGATCTCTCACCACTATGGTCTCACAATCCGTTGCAAAAGCTTCTCAGGTGCCAATCCCAAGCTGGTAAATTTTATAGTCCCCACTGGTGCCCTTGGCAGGCTGCCCCAGAACCCAACTGCTGTAGTGGTTTAAAGTTTTTTAATTTCCAGCTTAAGTGAATTCACAGCTAGTTGATATTCTCTTGTGCCTGTGCCAGCCTGGCTCTAGCTGAAGCTGTTTTTCCTCCCTGGTGTTTATTTCCCTTGAGGACAGACTTCACTTTGCTTAACTAACCAAATCAGCCCCCTCGTGCACCGTGAGCTCTCCTTACTCTTTTACTTGCTC